TCCATTCCTTTTCTCCTTCACTTCTAAACCCATCCCCAGTTCCTGCCACTCAGTAGCAAGCATGCTACCTCTGCTAGATGTCACCTCTTTGAAAACCCCGTGGTTAAGGGCCTCCAGGAAATGGCATCTGTCCTCACATCTGGGGCAGAGTAAGAGACCTCCTGGCCGCCCTCTCCTGTAAACACGTGATTAAGAATTCTGGCTGTGTTCACCACAGATACACAGACAGACATAAACACAGACACAGAAATGAGAAATCAGTCCCAAAAAGGCCAGTTCAATCAGAGCGGCCAGCGGGCTGATACGAGGTTTTTGGTGGGCAGAGCCTCCAAAGTGTAGATGAATTATTAACATTTTTAAAAGTTGATTCCTAACAGTAAAACTGTCCAAAACTGCAGAGGTGAGATTCAGTACTCTGTGTCCTGAGGCAGCATTACCCTCAAAGAGATCTTTTAAAATACATCGTTCTTTAAGCCAAGAGGAAAAAAATTACGCAAGAACAGCTTCGTTAAAGATCTGCCTACGTTATGAAAACCCTAATTACCAAATTGATCATTAAATCAATAACCTGGATCCAATAATTAAGGGTCTGAATGCTTTTCCATTGATGGTGAGCAGAGGACATTTCTAAGGAGAACTTCGGAAATGCTACCAGCGATTAAATAAATTATTAACTCTCACCGTGAGCCATGGACACATACCTCAGAATCTGAGCGGCAAGATAGGGAGACGGGGGGCGCGGGAGGTACATGGGCTTAACATGGAGGACAGACCTGTGGGGTGCTGCTTTTAAACAAGCAGAAACGCTCCCAGTTCCCTAACTGAGAAGAGTGACATTATCTTTCCGCTTTCCCTTTGTTCGGCTGGAAAAATGCCGGATCCCAGGGGACAGATAAGAGCTCAAACGTCACTTAAAGATTATAATAAACACATAAAAAAGGGAGGAAAGAGAGGAGATAAAGGGACGAGCCGACTCCGAGCATCAAGGAGGAATGGCGAGGAGCGAAACACATCTAATGATGTTAAGGACAGAATCCCAAGCACAGAGAGGCCCAGGAAATAGGCAAGCCGGCCCACCCCCCCCAACCCAGCCTGAGGCGCCAAGCGAGCCCCACGGGGCCTCCCCAATCAAGGGTGAGAAAACGTTCTGCATTTAGTTTAAGCTGCTCATTTGTTTTCTTATTGAGTTTTTGGTGGGTGAGGTGGGGGGGTGCTTCATGAGGCAGAAAGGAGGTTTTGTAACAGGTTACATCCAGCCAGCTGCCCGTCGTACCAACATTTACTCTCTGCGAGACAGCGAGGAGGGGCGATTCCAGGGTACTTTATGATGGGGGGCATAGCAGGGGCCATAACTCAAACAGAGGGGCCAACCTTATTAGCCAGTCATATGTTGTGAGTCAGAGAGTGACAGGGACTAGGGCACTCTGGGGTCCAATCAGCTTTAAGCTGGGGCCCAATCTCGTGTGGCCCCAGCCCTAAATACACCCCAGACAGTGAGTCAGTTTTACAGCAACAGAGGAAAATTGCTAACTAAAGAGGCTGCCATTAGCCAGTGCTAATCTAGCCGAATCGAGGGCAGGGCAGCGGTGAGAGGAGGAGCAGATGGACAGAGGAGGCAGCAGCGCGGGGGGTCGGACGCGTCTGGCTGACCGCTGGCAGGGAGAGACTGGTGTCCTGTTCACAACTAGGGTCACAGAGCCAGAGAGCGCTGGTGGGGGGGGGGCGAGAGCAGAGACACACAAACACAGGGAAGCGTGACAGGAGCAGGAATGCGCCAGTTACCGGCTGAGGAGGGTCCCAAAGGTGAGAGAAATCCAATAAGTGTCCTAATGCCCAGCAGTTAATCTACAATCAGTTCACAGCATCTCCCTTAACAGACCAGAGTTCCCAAAAGAGAGAGAGTGACAGAGAGAGAGCGACAGGATGTCCCACAATGCCCTGCGGTGGTCCCCACCCACCCACACTGAAATCTAAGTTTGAATGATTCCTATTAAGCGTTATTAGAAGGAGGAGTGGAAGTGAAAGGCAGGCCTGCTCTGCACAGCAGCCCAGAAAGGTGTCGCGGCCCAGTAAGTGTTATGAACAGAGAGGGAGGCAACCGGTATGCAACCAGCCAAGATGCCCGGGGAGTAGGACACGGCGAAACGTGCCACGCAGAGCGCCCCCTGCTGGTGTGTGCAAGCTGTCACCATGATCAAGCAGGAGAGGCCTGCACCAGAGATAGAGGGCAAAGGGTGGACTGCATTTATCCTGGAGAGAAGGTGGTGTCTAACCCGCATCTGCACACTGCCCCAGCATCACCCCCCCAGCGGGACGGGACCCACCGGCACCCCTTCCAAATGGTGAAGCGGCTGTGGATGTAGCAGAGCCTAAGGTCGGCTGGGATACTGCGGAGATGGTGTATAACCAGCGAACACCCACGTAATACTACATATGCTAGACACTATACTACACAGTATATCTGTAAGGAACACCCACAGATAATGGATGTTTGTCTGCCTTTTTAAGCCAAGTTCTTTGGAAGAATTATTTCATCCATGTTAGCACCCAACACACCATCAATAATGTTAACAAATGGGTTTAAGTTACTATAATAATGGAATGTGTGGGTTCTTGCCAAAGAATTCAAAAACAGACTCTCCATTTGTTTATCCCAAATTGTGTTTAATCCATCAAATTGAGGACACTTATCATATAATATCAATTAATTTAAAGAGTGTGTACACTACAACAACACTGCCTACACAGTGCTCAACCTGCACGGCCAAATGCCCCACACTCTTTACACACATCTAGTTAGGCAAAATAATGGATACAGAAACTGCACAAATAAACCCTTCAACTGCCTTGCACTTGAACAGGGAATACATTGTCTTCACGCCACTAAAGCGCATTTCCATTTCTTACATTATTCTATGACTATACTGAAAGCACACTTATTAGTTAACACATCGCACATAAAAACAAAGTAGACGCATTTCCATAACAATGTGCTACAGAGGAGAGTAATTAATGACGGGTCGGTAAATCGGCAAGCTACCGTCCCAGCAGACAGACTCGCAAGGTGAACTTCCGTTCAGCCGGCTCCGGAGTGGTTTTCCCCGTGCGTCTTGCCCGACTTGCCTCGTATCCCAAGTACGAAGATGCTTAACTAGTGCATCCCAACTGTGAGGCTCTTGGCATAACCCATGTCGTATTTAAAAACGGCAAACCAGGAGCCAGAAGCCTTTCAAAATTTCCACAAGCACCACTCTCGGGACATTTGAAAAATGTAGGAAAAATCTGTTAAATCAGTAATGAGACAGGAGCTGGGTGCCGTCAGACGTGCTTACCGTGCTGCAGAGTGACACCTGGAAGATGCTGCCATCACTGCCGCCACAGAAGAGGAAGTACTCACAGGGGTCAAGGGTCACGGACATGATGCCCACATCGAAGAGGATGGTTAAAAGCAGCTCGCCCGAGGAGAGTTCCCAGAGCTGTGGGGGTCAGTGAAGAGAGGAGAGACACGTGAGCTCATCAGAGGGCAGGCTGCAGCTCAGAGTGGGTGAGCTTTAAGGGGGGGGCAATCTCGGCTGCAGCTGTGTCTGCAAGTTTGTGTTCCAGCTTGAAATGAATTGCTTGACAGATCTATTTATTACCGGCAATGTGACACCTTCAGCAGATATTTAGAAATGGTCACTCTTTGGCTAAGCCCTGCTGCATGGGGCGGGGGGGGGGGTAGCTCACTTATTGGGGGGCGCTATGATGACTGTCACTGGTGATGAGAGGACATGCTGAAGGCTATGGGTGGCAGAGACAGCTCCTGTGGATGTCCTGACGTCATTTTCGTCACAAGGGTCAAGCGCAGAGGCCACGTTTCAGTGCGAGGGTGCCTGCCACTCCGAAATCTAAACAACGACCCGATCTGTGGCACAAATGCACCCCGATGGTTCACTGGCCAGGGGAATCGTTTAGCAGGAAGTCAGAAAGGAGATCAGACCAAAGCTTGTATATAAACACAGATAAACCTGATGAGCGGATCCAAGAAAGGCTGGCCAAGAAGGTCCAGAAATACCGGCGTTTGTTTGGTTCCTCGCGATGGGATTTTAAAGATTCCCAAATGGCTGCAAACTAGTATAAAATACATGCTTGTAACTGTAATGCCATATACCCCTGTGTACTGTAAGCACTTAATACAGCTTCTGTCAAATACTTATTTTTAATGTAACACCCATATCACACTTCATAAACGTGACTTAAGAGCAGCTTTGCTCTACAGCGTCACCTCAGGCCTGGGGACAAAGTCTGCACGCTTCGCATCCACAGTATTTTATAGGGCACCAAGATGAGCCAGTATTTAAAGTAAGGGGCATGGGAAGAAAGGGGGGGGGGGTCCACCAGCAGCCACCCCAAAAGGCAGGAACTCCCCCTTGAAGGGAATGGCCCTAATGCTCAGCCAGCCTGCCAGCGTTTGTGAACAGATAAAGTGTGTTTGTCCGTCTACAAGCCCTGTTCCTGGACAGGGATCACACTAAATTAAACACTGTCCCCCATCGAGCAGAAACGCAGCGAATCGCTGCCTGCCGGTCTACTGTCAGTGGCTGATCCACAGATATACAATCAGCCTCACCTGCAAAGACCAGCACTTATGGAAGATTCCAGTGTCACTACACCAGCTATACCGTAGCTGTGTATCCAGTCGCTGAACACACAGGGCACAATGCTGTGGGCCACACTGGCCAGGATGTCCGTCCGTCACAGGACACACACATTATGCGCGATTTAGGAGATCGCTCACGACAGCTGAACACACTGCTCAGACCCATTTTCACTGCACATTCCCTGCAGGAATTATGTAAACGAGCATATTGCTGCTGTCAGCCCTGAGCACGCCTCCATGACGCAGGAGGACATCCGCAGAGCCTAATGACTCTCCGCGGCCACCTCGGAAGGCAGACCGTTCCTGGGTATGGAGACTCCAGGGACACAGCGGTGATGGAGAACTGGAGGGGGGCACAGGCTCGAGCCGCCAGCTACACAGCCTGAGGCAGGACTGAGGACCACTTCCCCTTCAGCCCACACATCTCGCCCTGGGGGGACGGGGATGGGGGACGGGGGGTTGGGGGGTCACTGAAGAAATGATGGAAGCTAAAGAACAGCATGCATGCTCTGCTCTCCCCAAACGCCTACTGATGTTTACAGGAGACAGTGCCCACCAGCCCAAACTCCCCAAATGAGGCAGTGCACCTCTACGGTAAACAGGTTACCCAGCCAGGTGATGAACGCCGCCATGCACTGAACACCGGCACATGCTATACACGCTTGCTGCCGTGGGGTACAGGCTGAAAGTTCCTGCAGCTATACACTAAATGCCAGCACACGTTGAATACAGCCATACACTGAACATCGCCTTGTGCTGAACGTTGGCACAGGCTGAATGCTCCTGCCGACACATGCTGACTGCCACCATGTGCTTAATGCCACCACACACTGTACGCCGGCACCCGCTGAACATGCCTGTCGGCACATGCTGAACACTGCCACGAGCTGAACGTGCCTGCTGCCATGCTCTGAACACCGGAATGCTCTGAACACCACCATATGGTGGCGATGGTGGTGCAGGAGGTGCAGGAGGTAGTGCTACCGTTCGGCAACCGGAGGGTTGCAGGTTCGAGCCCCGGGTCCTCCTGACTCCATCGAAGTGTCCTTGAGCAAGACACTGAACCCCAAATTGCTCCCGGTGAGCTGGTTGGCGCCTTGCATGGCAGCCTCCGCCACCGGTGTGTGAATGTGAGTGTGGTTGGGTGAATGTGAGGCATAACTGTAAAGCGCTTTGGTACTCGTAAGAGTAGTAAAAAGCGCTATACAAATGCAGTCCATTTACCATTTACCATATGCCATATGACGCCAGCAGACCAGCAGCAGGTGGGCAATTAGCAGGAGCAGATCCCAGTAGACAGAGGAGGGGAGCGGCACAGAGCAGCCAGGCCCACCGAGGTTGCCACCAGCCGCAAGGCACACGCTGGCACACACAGAGCCCTCAGGGGGTACCATTAACAAGTCGCATGTTAATTAGGGCAGGTGTGCTGATGACCCACAAGTCTGTCTGTCGAAACAAGTAATATGTTACAGCTGTAGGCTGGAAACACGCAAACAGGGATGTTAGGGACTGGATATTGAGCAACCTCCTACACCGAACTCCAACATGGCAGACAGGATCACGGGGCTCACAGCAATGCGGCTACACGCACATCCGAATACACATCACCAGCCCTTACACCGTCCACACCGACACAGTGGACAGGCTCACAGCAATGTGGCCGCACGCACATCCCGATACACATCACCAGCCCTTACACCGTCCACACCGACACGGTGGACAGGGTCACAGCAATGCGGCCACACGCACATCCCGATACACATCACCAGCCCTTACACCGTCCACACCGACACGGTGGACAGGGTCACAGCAATGCGGCCACACGCACATCCCGATACACATCACCAGCCCTTACACCGTCCACACCGACACGGTGGACAGGGTCACAGCAATGCGGCCACACGCACATCCCAATACACATCACCAGCCCTTACACTGTCCACACAGACAGGATCATGGGGCTCACAGGCTTGCAGCTATGCAACCGTATGCACGTCCCGATACGCATCACCAGGACATACACCGTCCACACCAACATGGCGGGCAGGATCGTGGGGCTTACAGCTACGCCATCACACGCACGTCCTGATACACATCACATGGCACAAGGGCAGCGGGTCATAACCATGAGTGATGCATTCATGGTCCATGAATTCAACCCTGCTATCTGGCCTCAGAAACAGTGCCCTAAAGTATCTTCTATTGGCACTCATGATATATGCCCCACTAACCTCTAAAGACCGAAGCTAATGGGGGTTACAGTTCCCCCGCACACACCCCCACGATTCACCTTCACAAGCTGGCCATATCCCCATGCCAAGAATTAGTATAAAAGGCAGCAGACCCCCCCATACAGAGCCCCCACCGAGCAGAATGATGGAGCGGCTCATGTCAGGGATACAGGCATTCCTGGCACTTACTGCGCCCATTCAGCCTCCCTGCAGCCGACGGCGTCGGGCACTGCGATGCCCGTGGGGCACACGGCAAAGTCACGGCGAGGCCGCACGCCCCTCCGCATCGCGGCTCATGGTCTCTGCTACACAGGTGTGACTGCACAACCACAAGGAGGCAGCGAAGCGACTGGCAGCTCTGTCTAACTCCGATATCATCAACAGAATCGGTCCTTATCTGCCCCCCGGTCAGAACCATCTGGCCCCAGGCTGAGAGATGATCAGCTCGTCTCGCACGTCCAGCGTGCCACAATGTCGGGGGAACGATCCGCTCGGCTGCTTTATACTTAGACTGCATTCCTCCAGGACTCTGGGCCCGATTCAGCACTTTGCAGCTAGTCTGGGGGCCACTGTCACCTTACCCAGGATCTAAAGACTAGTGCACAGCACTATGCAACAGCCAGCTTTTAAAAAAACCTTCTACACCAAATTAAATGCGATTTCTAAAAACCCACATTTTACGAAGATTACACCATCCACAGTCTCCATTTAAATGAAGAATACATTTATTCATCACTAAATGTAACACGCCACCACAAAAACATATGCATGACATGGATCCAATCGTTTTCATTCTAGTCACAGTGCACAAGAGAAAAAAAAAATGCATAAAACTCCTGGTAGGATTTTTCATATTCAAATATGAAATGGGTATTTTAGGGCCTGCTGGATCCTCTGGCTTTCCAACAAGCCAGGTGTCAGAGTTTCTCTGCTCGTATTCCAATATAATCTGCCACTGTGCTGCACACAGGAAACGAGGTGGTTTACAGACCATTTCATTCGCTTGACTGGTAATCAGGATCTTCAAAATTTATGCAAAAAGATCACCATGCTAAAGTGAGAGATCACCGATTTCTGGAGATCTGCTAGACATTAACAGCACATCCATAAAGCAGCAGCTATCAAAATGTCAAACGTCCCAGGAAGACCTGCAGTTGTACCTTAGGGCAGAGGAAGAGCGGACTCAGCTGTACCCCTATAAGGCTCATTTGGGTAAAGTTATGTAATCATCCTGTTAAATAAAGCCAAAACTAATTCCACAGGGACACGGCATTCAAGAGGCGGCAGTCCAGGAGAGTGTCACACTGACAAAGCCACGCTCCGCTTCTTAATCCCCAGCTGGAAGAAAGCGACAAATTCCCCAGCACTCCGAACTGGCTGAGTGTGCCACTTAAACACATGACAATAATGGGCCCTCCATATGGAGCATTGTTAACAGGCAGAAAGGGCCGCTCCCCACCGCCGGCACCAGGCCAGGCTGGTTTATCTACAGGAAATAGACGGGGAGCCAGCTTCAGCTTGGCGGGTGGGGAAGACGGATAATTAAAGGAAAAACCTGGCCGGTATTCCTCACTTGAGAAAGACTACACCTCCATACACGCTCCAC